ATAATACAAATAGAAACAAAATATTACACTTATACTTACGCATAATAAGAAACCGATTTATCACAATTGCCGCACAAAACACAATAAACGCAAGGCATTTTTTAAAATAAAATGCAAAACTATATTCAAATAAAGCTGTTGACAAGGCCATAAAGCGGGGAGCACAGACTTTTGCATAACGCATAAAGCATGTGCATAAGGAATTTCATTGGTCCATTTTCTTATGCATGAGTCAATGGACCAATCAAATTCTTTATGTATATGGTTTATGCGTTATGCAAAAGTCTGTGCTCCCCGCTTTAAGCTTATGCATAAGAAAATGGGCCAATAAAATTCCTTATGCACATGCTTTATGCATTATGCAAAAGTGTGTGTTGGGGCTCTCATACTTTCGCACCGCCAGTAGCCTGGTTTACATCGTGCACTTGATACGCGTACTAACCTTAGAGCATATATATGTACATGGAGAGGGAATGGCCAATTCAAATTGTGCCCAAAATCTGTGCGAGTGAGATAGATACAAGTTCCTAATCGTCTTCTGTGCGCATGCGTTGAAATTATCAGATACTACGCTGAAAATATGTCAGTTACAATGAATAATAGTTGACATAACCACTGCTTGCGAATATCCTCTTCTTTTGGAAATCTGTTAATAACAAAAATAATTAAATTTATAAGTTGCAAGAAATTATTTTTTACGCATTTTTTGGTACAAAATCTAACCTACGTTTCATTACATAATACAAATAGAAACAAAATATTACACTTATACTTACGCATAATAAGAAACCGATTTATCACAATTGCCGCACAAAACACAATAAACGCAGAGCATTTTTTAAAATAAAATGCAAAACTATATTCAAATAAACTGTTGACAAGGCAACAACTCTTAATGAACGGGATTTTACATATTAAATTCAGTTCAACGCATGCGTGACGCATGCGCACAGAAAACGATTAGGAATTTATACCTTTCTCTCTCGTACAGATCTTGGACACACTTTTGGTCTATAGGCGGCATAGGAAATTCCTCCTCCATGTATATATGCTTTAAGATCGTTCAAAGCATAGAGAATGGACTGCGCGATCCCGTATCTATGTAGTATCAAAATGTGTCGACGAAAATGAGAGAGAGGGTCCGTGGAAGACGGCCATTTCTATCTTTTTCCATTCCATGATGTAATGGAAGAGAGAATGAGAGGGAGATGGCCGTCTTCCACGGTCCCTCTCTCTCGTTTTTGTTGACCATTTTGACACAAGGATCGCGCAGTCCATTCTCTATGTCTTTGAGATCGCTAGACGATAAAAAGAGACAGAGCTATTAGAAAGAGACAGAGCTTGACCCACACACTGAAATATAATACCTAGAGTTCCTAGAAGTAAGGGTGCCGTCACATACAGCCCGCAATCCGTAATCCGCACCGGATGTCCGCAAAAGTTGCTAGGCATTGCGTCCGTAACGTTACGTGTATTTTATCTCCTTATGGGTGCAAACCCATGCAGCGGAATAGCGTAACGCGGAACGAGAGTAGAACCAATCACGAGATTCTCTAGAACCACAGAATGCTCGTTATTGGTTCTGCTCTCGTTTCGCGTTACGCTATTCCGCTGCATGGGTTTGCACCCTTACTTCTAGGAACTCTAAGCCCGGATCCTCATACGGGCAACAGCGCTTTGACACCAAACGCTGATTGGTGAAAAACCGGTGGCGAGGGTAAAATTTACCCCCATAACCCGTTTTTCACCAATCAGCGTCCGGTGTCAAAGTGCTGTTGCCCGTATGAGGATCCGGGCTAATAATACCTACTGGAACGCGCGCTGACCCTCGCCGCCTTTGTTGGCAGTGATCCGAGAGAGAGCATGTCAAGTGGTATCTTTGTCCTTTTCGAAGTTATACTGCGCATGTGTAGTAAACAGTAGTGGTGCTCGTACAACAATCCCGGGAAAAGTTAAAATTAATAAAACAAAAACAGACACATGAAAGGTCAAGAGCCAGATAAAATTAATAATATACGTAGCATGCATATGTTAAATGTATGTTAAATATCAATTATTATTGTTTAATATTTAAATATGGTGAAATACTGTTGTATTAAAAATTGCAAGCAAGTTTGGAGATCAGGGGGTCTATTCTTGACAAGAAACGTACGAAAAATTAGGAAAATACTATAGTATACGTAACGTATACTATAGTATTTCCCTAGACTTTCGTATACGTTTCTTTTCAAGAATAGAGCCCCAGACATTGATATTTCATTCTTTAGGTAATTAAATTTGATTAAAGTTATGAGAATAACTTCTATTTCTGAAATATTTTTGAAATTGAAATGCAAATCATTTAAAACTCATTTTAATTTTCCACTTAAAAATGAAAATCTATTCAGTGAATGGTTACGTGTTGTATATATTTTTGTTGCTTTCTATTTCTAGTTTGGGCATGGCTATTTTGCTTTTGTAAATGCTGTAAATTCAAATAAAGAATATATGTTGTAAGAATATTATGTTGTTATGAAATTATGTTGTTATATTACGTTGTTAAAGTGCACTGAGTGCACACTAGCTCTGTCAATTAAAAACGCTAATAATATGACATATGTCACTCATAACAGACAATTCAACGTATAATTTAATTTGTAAGAAAGAATTAAATTTTTGATAATATTGTACTAAAAAAGGACAAGGATACCACTTGAGACCCTCTTTGTCGGATCGCGAAACTAGCGCCAGCGCGCGTTCCAGTAGGTATTATATTTCAGTGGACCCACACCGGTCGCTATCTCTTTCTTTCGGGCCGGTCATATTATTACAGCCTGTGCGCAGTCCATACTATATGTCGATAATCCTACTGTATGATCCTTATACTGTGCTTTCCACCGAAGTGACAAGAACACATAAATATTTACGAAATAATTCATCTAAAGGAGTAAATTCATTTCTTGCTTCCTAAAAAATAGTACTATCATTAATAAAATAGGATTATTGTTAATTTTATTTTTTGGATACATGAAATATCGGACTTATGTGAATCCTACATTAGAGGATGCGGTCTACTTGGCGCTACAAATACTTTGAAGCTTTTGACTGAACAATCAGAAAAAAGAATTATACTAATTGTCCAATCAAAAAATGCTTCGAAGCATCAAATAAACCGTAGTCTTAATCATAATCTTAAGATATAATTCTCATAAAGGTTGATTTATACTGGCCGTAAACTGTTAACTTATGCTGTAATCTGTAAAAATTGACCAATCACAGTCGAATGAGAGGGGAATAATCGATTATAATTGGTCAATTTTTACAGATTACAGCATAAGTTAACAGATTACGGCCAGTATAATCCAACCTTAAGGCTGCGCACAATGGTGGAACAGATATTAGATATTAAAATATTAACCTATCAGAATCGTGCATTCCAGTGGAACTGGTATCTGATAGGTTAATATTTTAATATATCTAATATCTGTTCCTCCATTGTGCGCAGCTCTAACTATTAAAAAACTATCGATAGTATTCAATAGTCCAGGATAATCGACAGTTATCGATAGACCATCGATAGTTCTCGACCTCTGTATGACGATAGCAAAAAAAGAAACTAATGAAACTATCGACATATCGAATTAAGGTTAGACTATTGATTTGCTGGATTCACACTACATTCAATTTTTGTCGTACGATGACTCTGCAACCAATCGGAAAACAAAATTTTGCTTCGTATCGACAATACGATTTTTCTGATTGCAGAGTCATCGTACGACGAAAATCGGATGCAGTGTGAATCCAGCAATAGTCGCTATTGATAGTTTTCCGTTTCTACATTCTCTACTCGACGTACTAATTACCGGCCGGCGGCCTTAAGCGGGGAGCACAGACTTTTGCATAACGCATAAACCATATACATAAAGAATTTGATTGGTCCATTGACTCATGCATAAGAAAATGGGCCAATGAAATTCCTTATGCACATGCTTTATGCGTTATGCAAAAGTCTGTGCTCCCCGCTTTACGTCTTCTTTCATCCTAGTTTTTTAGGCTGCGGTCGAGTTGCCACTACGAATACTTTGAAGCGTTTCTTGATTGGTCAGTTTGTATAACTCTTTCTTTTGATTGGTCAATCAAACGCTTCAAAGCATTCGTAGTGGCAACTCGACCGCAGCCTTAAGGTTGGATCAATGAAATTCCTTATGCACATGCTTTATGCGTTATGCAAAAGTCTGTGCTCCCCGCTTTACGTCTTCTTTCATCCTAGTTTTTTAGGCTGCGGTCGAGTTGCCACTACGAATACTTTGAAGCGTTTCTTGATTGGTCAGTTTGTATAACTCTTTCTTTTGATTGGTCAATCAAACGCTTCAAAGCATTCGTAGTGGCAACTCGACCGCAGCCTTAAGGTTGGATTATACTGGCCGTAAACTGTTAACTTATGCCGTAATCTATAAAAATTGACCAATCACAGTCGAATGAGAGGAGAATAATCGATTATAATTGGTCAATTTTTACAGATTACGGCATAAGTTAACAGTTTACGGCCAGTATAAATCAACCTTTAAGGTTGGATTATACTGGCCGTAATCTGTTAACTTATGCTGTAATCTGTAAAAATTGACCAATTATAATCGATTATTCTCCTCTCATTCGACTGTGATTGGTCAATTTTTACAGATTACGGCATAAGTTAACAGTTTACGGCCAGTATAAATCAACCTTTAATCAGCTCACAGATTTGTCGCGTTGCTTGCACTTTTTGCACTTACCATCTTCGCTTTCTTTCTTTTTAAAGCCGAATATACATCTATCTCATTTTAAGTGCAAAATTATTTGGGGATTTCATGCAACGCGAACAGACCTTTTATGTCGGCTAGAGTCCTATCTAGGACCACAGTATATACTTGTGCTAGGACTCTAATATCGGCATTCGTTGAGTAATGGCTGTTTGCGAGGTGTTTAGGCGTGCAGCTAGTCGGTCTAGTCTTGAGATAATTAATTGTTAGTCGAGCATAATTTTTTTCGCTTGTTGTGCGTTCGAGAATCATGTGAATATAATACATTTTTATACATCACGTATGACGGTATAAGCCATAAGGTAATAACAAGAAAAATTTCATTTTAAATGTGTAATAATTTTTAACTGAGAAAATTTCTAATGATTAGGTTCACGTGCACAACACTACGTATTTAATAGAGAGTAGTTTGGAATTTCTGCACGTGCAGTCCTGTGGATCCTGCGTATTGATCAGAAATATTACTGTAATATTGTTTATGAATAACAAATAAATTCTTTGTAATATCAGGTATGTTTTATTAAATAATAAAGGGTGCGTTCCGTTTCACGCTTGATGTGCATAATGTATCATTTATCTTTGTTGCTCATAACATGTTAAACAAGGACAATTGATGTATTATGCATATCATACGCAAAACAGAATGCATCTAAAAAAAGAGGCTGTGTCGTAATAAACAAAAGAAAAATAATACTAACTTTATTGAAATGATTTTAGGTGAAAAAATATATACACAACGTAACTATACATCAAGCATTAAAAGACTGAAAATTGAAGTGGAACTTAAGAGTAGATTATTTACTATTTAATTTATATTGCTAAATCTCAACCTAACCTTGACTTAACCTTAGTATAAAACTAAAAGAGTTCTGAGGTTAATTAACAAAAATTTGTTTTTTGATATCATGGATTTCGACAAGTATTTTAAAAAAGATGTGGATGGGGCTTACAATCTACATTTTTTAAACAAGGACAAACTTTCTATATATGAGATAAGGGAAATATTTTCAGTTTATGGAAATATCTTAGCCATAAATGTTACTAGGGACGAAACTGGATTTAGATTTGTAAAATATGGAACCTTACATGAAACAATAGCTTGTTTAAAAGGTTTAAAAGATGGTAGTAAGATACAGCTACTGCCAGAAAAAAGTAAAATAAAGGATAGAAAGTCATATAGAAATTCAAATGATGAAAATTTGTTGAATGATGGAGGAAACTGCACAAATAAAACTTTTAATGGAAATGATAGATCTGATATTTCAAATACTTTTCAAAATTCTATGCATAATCATAGACCTATCCCAAATGTAACTAATGACAATTCATCAGCACTTGATAGAAAATCTTCAGTATCTTCAAGACAAACTTTCATGGAGAATAACTCTTTGGATACAATAGATTATGGAAAATACTATAAGATAACAAAAGATGGAAGTTATAGCGTACATTTTGCAAATAAGAAAAACTTGGCCTCGGAATTTATAAAAGATACATTTTCATCTTATGGAACTATTACATCCATATATGATGGAGGAAATGTTAATGGATTGAAAGTTATAACATATAAAACATTGGATGAAGTAATAAATTGTATAAAAGGTCTTCAAAATGATAGTCAGATATATTTGTTACCAGAAAAGAATAAATCGGCAGGTGAATCAAGAACAACTAATCAAAACAGTTTGAATCGGTGGCAAGCATCAAGGACAGAAGATATTTCACAAAAGACGTTCAATACTGATAAACAATTTAATTCGAATTCTACTCATAATGAGAATAATAAACAAGAAAAATTATCAGAATATATAGAAAAGCCAATTTACAATATAAGAGCTTGTGATTTTAATAAATTTGATGGAGCTGACAACTTTTCAGATAGTACTTGCAATTCAAGACATGATAAATCTAATAATGATGCAACTAAATATAAGAATATGAGTCCTCAAATGTTTGATGAAAAATACTCATTTTTGAGACAACATAAATCCATTAATAATGAAGATTATAGTCGAGTAATGAGAAAGAAGCAAGAAGGAACTAAATTAGATTCTTCAACGATGATTGAGGTAGATAAAAATAGGCGATTTAGTACACATGATCAGAAAATGCCAATGTTAGTTTCTAACACAGAAATTAAATTGAAAGAATTTGATGTCATGTCTAATAGCTCATTGTCAAACGAGACTAGGAGTTTATCTAAAATTGTGTACATCCCAATGCAAGAAATAATTGTTGCTAACATTCATAAAAACTATGGCATACATTACATTTTACATTTGTTTGAAAAATACAGTCCAATTTCGGCAACAATTGTACTGACGATTTCTGAAACTAATATACGATATTGTCACGTTTATTTTAAAACTGTACAAGATGCGGTAGCTGTTGAAGAAGAATTTGATAATTTTGATTTATATGGCCAAAATCTTATTGTTCTACGAAAATCACGGTTGATAGACGAAACTATCTGTGAATAATTTTGTCTTTCTTGTTACATTGAATTTTTATAAGTTTTTTCTTTGTGAAGATATTGATATTTTTTTAATTAAACTATTTGGTTTACAGAAGAAAATAATGTTTGTGTATGATGTACAAAAATAACATACATGTGTGTTACAATCTCATAAAATTTAATAAGTTTTAGTTGTAAACTAAAATGCAGTATGAAAATAATTTCAAAAATAATTTATAAGGTTGTGTGTAATTTAATAGTAAAAGTTTGTAGTATGTATAAGTGTATTTCCCTGTTTTTTTTCCTTTCGTTTCTTCTCCCTTTTATTTATTTAAAAAGTAATTTATTTACAATTTATTGCATGTATATTTAAATTATAAAGTAAATTATATCCTCGATTATATTAATTAAAGTCATATCCTTGATTTGTTTGTCCATTATTATAAGTTGCTGTTTCTTGTGCAAAATCAAAATATCAAGAATAAATTTATCAAATATAGGAGGAGATTAAAAATCAAAGAAATTCAAAAGAATTTTTATATAAAGATTAAAATGTAAGATTTACGAATTCTTGGATTCCTGGACCTTTTAGGATGTTTAAAAAAAATATAAAGTTCTCTGAAAGAAATATTTTCTTCATTTGCATAACGTAAAATAAAAGAATTAATAAAAGATTGAAAAAGATTCTATTTTTAATTTTATTTTAATAAACGTTCGTAGATAAATGTGACAATGCGAATCCTGAGTCTATTATCTTTATAGTCAATCAACACTGGTGCTTAGGGTGCGTCCCGATGGAGAAAGAAATAGCAGAACGGAATGAGAACGGAACATTGATAGAAAAGAGATAGGATTGTTCTATCTCTTTTCTATCAATGTTCCGTTACTGTTCCGTTCCGTTATTTCTGACTTCATGTGACTGCACCCTTAGAACATATATGTATAATATGGAATGCTAATAGGACGCGCAGGCTGAAGCCAAGTAAGTGCGAGAGAGAAAGGTTTAGTGGAACTAAAATTCATAATGCGCATGCTCAGTTCTGTCACTCCGTTCGTCAATCCATTCCGTATTCCGGTTACTCAACCAATGGATGGGAACCACCTGACGAAATTGAGCATGCGCATTGCGAATTTTAGTTCCATTATACCTTTCTCTCTCGCACCTATCTTGGCTTCGCCTGAGCGTCCTAACCTATTAGCATCCTATGTTATATATGTCTAAGCTGTGATGTGAGTAACATAACCTATATCATAGTTATTGACATTTTAAGTTAAGTACACGTGAGTTTTGAGAAGATGCAATTAACAATGTCGAAAGGTTTTAATAAAGACGAAGTACGTAAAATACTTCAGAAAGAAGAACAGTTCATTTCGCATATATTATCTATAATGCCCATGTCGACACATGAATTAGGTAAATATATATTTTTCAAGTAATATAATTTCTGGTATGTAAGAGATGTTTAAAAATAATAATTAAATGGATGTACTTTTATGTTTTTCTTTAGCTGAAAAAAATGATTCAACGGAGGAAAAAGAGCCCACAAAAAAAGGTATTACCTCATTTTTTATTTGAAAGCATAACATAATTTTGCAGAATTCAGTTTATCTAAATTTCTAACCAATGATATTCTATAATATTTATATTCATATTTTAATATGTAATATACAAGACTAGTAAAAAGTGGTAATCATTCATTGGATAATACTTTTTATTTCAAGTAAATTTAGGTTTTATCTGTTTATTAAAATAGATTTGTCATTCTTCATTGTTAATATTTTTTTAATTGTATTTTCCATTGTAGTGAAAAATTTTGCTATACCAGGAAAGAAAACCAAAAGAGCACAGTCTTTTAAAGAGTTACATGCAAAATTGGAGGAATTAAAGGGTGTAAAGAAGTTACACTATAAACAGAAACTTCTTAAGAAAACTTTGAAAAATAAACTCAAGAAGAAGATGAAAAAGGAAGAGCGTTTATTACAGAGAAAGCTTGCTAGGATAGAACAAAATACAATTAATGGCAGTAAAATAAAGACTGAAAATGAGGAAGTACCTAAAGTTCCAAAACCTAAACCAGTTTTCAATTCGGAAGGTAAAATGGTATTTAGCAAATTTGATTTCTCTGAGATCGGCGTAAAGAAGAAATTACCTAAGAGTCAGAATGACCCTAAAAAGGTGTTACAGCAACTACAACTGAAAAAAGAAAAATTAAAGCAATTAGAAGATTTAGGAGATAAGGAAAAAGCTGAAGACATTAGAGAAAAAGATGCATGGAAATCTGTATTAGCAAAAGTATCTGGTGAAAAGGTATGTACTCACCTTTTTTTTAATTGTATCTATTCCATATACATATGAAAAAAAATTTTTTTTTACTTTTTATTAAATATATATAGCGAATTTGTCATTGTTTGTTCTTCGTATGTTTTAATGTTTTTTTACACTTTTAATGCATTATTATACTTATTTGACAGATTAAAGATGATCCCGAATTGCTGAAACGTACTATAAAACGAAACGAACAGAAAAAGAAACATAGTGCAAATAAATGGAATTCCAGGATAGAGAATATACAGAAATCTATACAAGAAAAGCAAGAAAAACGACGAGAAAATATTATGAAAAAGAAGAAGGAGAAGAAACAGAATAAATTGAAAAAGGTAGCAAAGAAAGGACGAATAGTATCCGGATTTTAACCATCGATCATTTATAAGGCTGTAATTGTAAATTGACTTTGTAAAATTTTTATTATGTATCCTTGATTGTCAAGAATCATTCTATTCATCAATCTGATATAGGAAGGCAGACATTCTATCTTTTGTTATACTTGCTGGTTAATGGAATAGTTAAATGTTTATGAAAGCATACTTGGAATGATGACTTGTGTACAATATCAATCTTCATAATACAATCACGAGTAATAACTTTATTCATATAATTTAGTTTTACATTAATTAGAAATCTGTATTTACATTGATATATTAGTATTGTAGACCAGCTACTTCCTACAGTGACCGCGTACGTTTTGGATTTTAATTATCGTGTAAAAAGCTCTACTCGCAAATGTTACGAGTAAATAGTACAAAATTTCATGTCGGTCGTAATGTTTAGTTACGGCGTACACGCACACATTCACACAAAAGAAATACGATGCTTTATTTTTCGAACATCATCTTATTGTAAATTTTATTTTATTTCTTTTGACATAAAAGCATTGTATATTTTTCTGATATTTTGTACAATCATCGCGATATGGTAGTGCTTGAGTACAGACATCCGATTTCCTTCCGATGCTCCAAGAGACATTTTCAGAGAGGCCGGTCAGTAAATGATTGGCAGATCTAGGACGAGAGTTTCGATATAGCTGCCGTCTTTCACCTCCTGCTAGGTGTCTCCTAACGCCGCAGAGACCGCATTAGCGTGTGTCAAAGCCGTCCACAGCGGACTATGATCCACAGGCAACGGCACCGTCAAAGATTTCGATGGTCGTGGAGACCTGCAAAAACAGAATAAATGTAACCACATCTGCAAAACACACTAACGTTTTACGAAAACTCTAGATTAGTTTTAACTTTCTACAAGTCATTATGTCGAATGTTCAAATGATTTAAACATAGCATAGAGACATTATATTGATTTTATAAAACAGATCACAATCTGAAATAATCATATCTGTACAATGAGTAAACAATTGATTATGCATGCACATGTATTGGTAAATTGTTTTATAATACTTCATTCTCAAATTTGGTTTATCTTTTATTTTTTACTTCGTAAAAAATATATTTTAGATTTTTGTTGTCGATATTCTATTATATTCACATTTTGTATACATGCTCTCAACAAAAAAGTTTCACCAACAAAATCTATTGAAAATATTTATCAGTTATAGAATTGGTCAGTATTAATGAATATATCTATTTGTCAGGAGAGTATAGGTAGGTGATGTGTGTGTAGAAATTAACATGTATCAATATTTTTTTATTTAGTAGCAATGCAACCTTTATGCTGAAAAATTATAATTTATTTTATCTACATATAAAATGTTCATTTCTACCAATGTGGATTAACTTTAATCTCGATTTAACTTATCTTTTCTTGATTTTTAGAACTAGAAAAAGATAAAAAGTAAGTTAAATTGAGATTAAAGTTAATTTATATTGTTGGAAGTGGACATTATGGAATAATTTGAATTGAAAATTGCGTCCTCTTTCCAATATTTGAACTCTGTAAACTTAGTCACAATTGCGTCGACCAATCAGCGTGCATGCACGTAATATGTATACGCTACGTGCTAGACGAAAATAAGCGTTGACAGAAGTGAGTGAGAGGAGGGATGCTTCGTATGATGTTTGCGCCGATTTTTCGTGATTTTTTATTCGACCAGACGCGTTGTCCTTGCGAAATATCGAGGCTGATCACGTCGTGTTACTGTTAAATAGCAGTCTAGTCCAATTTTCATTCATTTTAACGAAGCATCGATCGAATCGATTAAAGCTCGTAGTTAGGGCAATTGCTAATGCCATATAGTTCCGTTATTCAATCTGCGATTAACGCGATTGCTTTCGACACAAAGCTCCAAGGTGAAATATCTTGTGTTCTATTAATTTAGAAACCATATTCTTGTTATATTATAAAAGGAAATACAGACTATATTATATATAATATATAACCATATTATTCTCATTAAATGCGAGCGAGGAACAAAAAATCATCCTGATTTCGATCAGAATATTTACGACACTGGAAAGCGGGTGGAAAGAGTACTTTGGCGCCATTATATTGTCGTAATTATCTTATTAGGTAGAAGTAATAAGCGTCGCGTCTCTAATCAGTTTTTATGTCTCCTACGCTATGACTCATGGTGTAAGTAGTAATAGTAATACACCATGCTATGACTCGCATAACTCGGATACGTTCAGATTGCTAACGGAAGGAAGAAGGAAGAAAACGCAGTATCGAGTGACCAATTTCGCAATCTTTATTCGATATCATTTTCGAGAAATATCCGAATCCGATCGCGTTGCGGTTGTCATTAGTAATAGCTATAGGTATGTAGTTTGATTTTCGTCTAATCGATTTAATAAAACATTAATCGCTTTTGTCAATTGATTGAAACTCGTATACATATATAGTTGGCGCAATTAATGCATGCATGTATAGTTCGTGGCAATTATATATATATATATATTGCCTTCGGCACGAGACTCGTCGTAGATAAGATAAATCTTTTTTGTTAATTTTAGAGAACCAATTTTTGTAAAAGAGAAATATATTGACTTTTATTCTTAAAACACAGAGTCATAATTAAGTCATGATATAGGACGTCATCATATGATGTCGTTTGATAATTAAAAAGATCATATTTATAAATGACAAAATCACGAAGATATCCTTGAGATGTCATTATGATTTCTCTGTTCTACTTGAGAGTTATCCGAGAATGGATTGGATTTTGTCTATTCGAATTCGTATTTTAAATAGCGAATACTTTTTTGTGGATTCAATTGAATTCAATTGGATTCAATTAGATTCAATTAGATACAACTGGATTGAAAAACTGCGTTTCCTATTCAAAACTATGAATTGAACAGTATTCACTATGGTCACAAACGCACTGAAAATGCTAATACCCAGCTAGCAAGCTCACGTGATAATGACGTGATTATGAAGTGATTTTGATGACAATGCCGTCAAGTGACATAAATGGAACGTTATTTTGACGTCATTTGTAATACCAAAAGTTGACGTCACCGATATGACGTCAACTAGATGTTACATTGACGTCATATATATGACCATTACTAATTAATTATTTTTTGTTATTATGTGTATTATTATTTGATGTATCATTTTATCCTTTAATATTCGATGAAAAACAAGGATAAAATGATATGTCATGCGCATTACACTTGCGGAAATGATACATACATGTATACTAATACATACTGCACTAATACATACACTATCATATAAACACATAAACCATTTGTTTTCAATATTTCCATTGAATATATCACAATTATACAGACATTGACATACAGATTTGTGGATCATCGAAGTACAGCAGTTCCCGTACGATTGTCAAGGTTAAGCATGCGAGGTCGTGGTACATACAACTTCGGATGGGTGACCGTTTGGGATGCATCATGAAAAAAAATTAATTCTCGAATTTAGAGAAAATTTTTTTTTTCAGTAATTAGGGAAAACTGACCGGTATTCTACTTGAATTTCTACACGAAGTATATACGAATTTACTACTGCATTATTGCACTAGTAGTGACACTAATAGTACTTTTTAATCATATTTACGTCTCCCTGACGTAATAAAATAACGTCAATAAGATGTGACATAATCACGTGATATATACGTCAGAAAAACGTTACTTTTATGTTATAATTGACGTTATTTGTGCCAAAAATTCACGTCATTATCACGTGACCTTGCTAGCTGGGTATTATTTTATGATTGAAAAGTATACAGATATGCTCCATGCAATTCCTATAAATGAATAAAAACGTATTCGGATTGAAAAGTATACAGATATGCTCCATGCAATTCCTATAAATGAATAAAAACGTATTCGGATTGAGAAGGATTCATTTTAACATTCATGAATCCGTATTTCTGAAAATTTGAATCCATTTTAATCCATTTCAATCCATTCTCGGATACTGGATTCTTATTAAATGGATGAGGAATAAAAATATTCCGGTTTTTCGAGAAGAGAAGAGAAAAAAGGCGTGTAAAGTATTTTGGCGCCACTGTGGAACCCAGGGTATAATGAAACCATGGGGTATAATGGGATGTATTCGATATCTGGTTACAGAGATGCTAATATAATGTAATGAATTGTCAAACAATAGTTACTATTAGATGTATCTTTTTATATGTATATTGTTATTAGTTGTCATATTATTTTTACATGAATATTGCTAAAAATTGTTTAATGTGTTCGCTTTGCTGTCCGCGAATGAGTTACAGGTTCTTTGGTATATTCGTGTAAGATAAGGGTGCGTCCCGATGGAGAAAGAAATAGCGGAACGGAATGAGAACGGAACATTGATAGAAAAGAGATAGGATTGTTCTATCTCTTTTCTATCAATGTTCCGTTACTGTTCCGTTCCGTTATTTCTGACTCCATGTGACTGCACCCTAAGCAATAATAAAATTCTATTTTTTATCGTCACAAATACATTTATCTTATTATATGATCTTTTCTTGTTACTTTTAGTACTAATCTATACAAATATATTGTTTATCTGTGGTATTTTATATTACCTAAAATAAATTAATGTACTTTGAGGCATAATGGCGCACTAATTACACGGGGCATAATGGTGCACACTTGCACAGTGGTTGCCGCCGCGACGCCGCGCCGTGGCGCTATTCGCCGTGACACATGATTGAGGTTAGGCGCCAGCCTCTTTACGTGTTGCGTATTTTTAACTATCAAGAATTTTGTACGGATTACGAAGTGCACACGTACAGAAGTGTTATCTAGTAACATTGTATTTAATAATGTGTTCTAAGTCACTTTTAAGCAATATTCAGTATTAATTTTTTAAAAGTAGACAAGTTTTATGTGGTATCCTATTATACCCCGCATAAATGACATAGTGAGATTATGACACACTTTCACAAAACAATAATTTCGTCCTGTTAACTTATACTTTTGCAGTAAAACTTAGGTTTTTCTTATAGTAAAGACTCCAAAGAAAATTTTAATATATACGAAAGTTGATTTATTTATTTTTAATATACATATATTTAAAACTTGAAAAAACTTAACTATAATCATTATACCCCGGGTTCCCCTAATTATCTCAAGTACAAGCAGATCGTTCAATCAGCGCATTTCTTCTACAATTCGCGTAAGTCGGATAAATTCAGATTGCTAGCGAAACGAAGGGAAGAAGTAAAAACGAATTGCAGTTTCGTGTGACGCGCGCTCGAATTTTCGCGAGTTATTGTTCAATTATACGCGTTCTCTTCGAGAAGTATCGAGTATAATTGCGTTACAAGTGTGCTGCTAATTAGAGAGCAGTTTGATTTTCACCGGTCTAACGAGTAATTTGTGTTTTTCAAGGCTATGCGCAGTTGATAGAGAAAGTTGGTCTTGACGCCATCATTCGAAATTGCTTATTTTCAATCGACGCGACTTGTCGGCGTCAAAGGTAAGATTTTATTAATTTTTAAATTGCATTTCTGAAATAAACATTAATTTGTATTTCATTACGAGTAATAAAAAGTTATGTCATATGTTTTTGAGAAAATTCACGTCATGGGAAACAGACGGGGGAGAAAAAGTCATAAAGTGTTCTGGCACATTGCAGTGTTTTGATATAATCTCACGTATCTCGAAGGTCGTTAATTAGCGGGCAGTTTGATTTTCGTTGATCCAACGAATAATTCATGAATTTTTCAAGTCTTGTGCGCAATTGTTACGCCATTTTATTCAAATTGCTTCTCGATTGGCGAGATTGCTTTCGGAATAAAGACTCATAGGTGAGATAATTTTGTATTCGTTTTAAAACGGCGCTTTTTGTGAAAGAATATCAATTTGAAGTTAATTAGAATTTTTATTGTACGGATGAATATGAAAAAAATGAGAAATCGTCATATGAAAAATTCTTGGCGCAAAATGAGAAAGAGGGATAGATATTCTGATCTAACAATAAGACAATCAACTATGATATTTTAATTACAACTTATTTTTTTATTGTATTTTAATTATTAATATTTTAATTCTGATTTTAGCTGTTGTCTTATTTGCATCATCTTGCGCGTTCATGACTCGCATAATTCGAACAAACTCAATTTGTAAAAAACAAAAGAAAAGAAAAAATATAATTACACAAAAGAACAAATAGATAAAAAAACAGCTTTATGTTTGTGTGTTTTCTTGTAATCTTTCATCCACTCGTATATTTTTGTTGTAAAAGATCAAATTCTGATTGCGTCGCGTTACCGTTAATTAGCGGACAACTATGTAGGTTTCGTTGTACGATAATAACAAAGTATTAGTTATTTAATCTACATATCGGATGGAGTTCGTATACAGTTAATTATTAATGCATGAAGTTTCAAACTTTTTACTTGATGTAATTATTTTCTCTAGAACCGTTTATATAGATAAGGCATTTCTTTTTTTATTAACTAAGATAAATAATGAGCATATACCACTATACTGGATCTTTTTTGTGAGAAATTGTCTTTAATATAATTTAATTAAATAAACGTTTTTCGGTCATAAATGTGACCATCTTAAAACGTTTTTCGGTCCTGAATGTGACCATATTCATTAATTTATTCTAATATACTATGAAGAATATCACTTGATTTTTGGCGTTTCGTCCCGGCTTCCATTACTGGACTCATCATTAAGACATTGTAATGGAAGCCTACCTTATACGCCTGAGATAGTTGTTTGATCGAGATTCTATATAAAGAGATATATGCGTATCAAAGCACTTACGAGAATTTTTGCGAATACCGATAGACCTCTGATGGCGGGTCGACGTAATGATATTCTTCGTAATGATATTCTTTTTTTATTAATTTAAAACCATAATTCTTGAAAAAGTATTGATTTGAAATTAGAGATTCGTATCGCGTAATTAGCCATATTTTTACGAGAATTTATGAATGAAGCGGGATAATTTAAACGTATCTCATCGTTATTACCTCGACGGTGCCAAATCCGGATGCTAGTCGGGACTACTTAATTCGAGAGCGGTGCTCTGCTCGGGATCTGAGCGCTCCTCGACGACGGTGTCTAACTCCAGGGATGAGAAGGCTCGGGATCCTCTATCACCTCTTAAGGATACCGTACGTGCCGGTCGATCGATGCCAGCTGTAAAAATGCCGACGATATGTAAGTTATATTATTTAAAAGATCTTGATGTCATTGCAATTTTTGTTTAAACAAACGTGTTTAATGCGACGCGCGTAAATTAAAATATTTTCCTTCTTTTCATTCGCTTTGCTTGCTTTGTTTGCGATTATTGAAATTCTAAGGATATCCACTGGCGGAAATTCGATTTGCCATTGACAAAGCTTCCGACAATGGAAATTTCTACTTAAATTAACTACGAGAATCTCTAAGATTTCTAATTGGCTAAACTAATTTATTAACAAACGAACCATGCAATCTAATATATGCAGCTTTTATTTTATTTTTTTATCTAGGAACAAAAAAACGTTGCGTCTCATTTTCATAAAATAAAAATGGAAATAAGTTTCCAAATATATCATCTATTCTAATAGGTTTATTAAAAATAGTGGCATACTGAATAATATTAATATTATCTCATTCTTGTACAAACTTAATTATGTTCTAACTTTTGATTATCTTATGGCATTATATGACAAGTCACAAGCGCTGATACATTATTATATAGATAACAATTTTTTTCAAATGCTAAAGAAATTGCTGTAAATTATTTGAACAAATTTCTAAGAATCGAGCGATGCTTAACTACGTTATATTTTACCTAAATCCTCTCTCGATGCTGTGCTTGCCAACACAAATAAACCTTTCAATGCGGATTAATTTTGAACCATATGATTTTATTCATTAAATATATGACATGCATTCCTTTACATGAAATAAAAGTTACTTTCAAAGGTATTTAATTACTGAATATTTAGATAACTGATTTAAACTTACACTGTTGTGTGAAATTTAATCCTCTTTAACTTTAGAGAATTAGAGGGTTTTCTGATACAGTAATTATATATAATTAAATCAATTTAACCTCTCCGTGTTTTATTTATTTTTTATTTATTTTTCGTATGTTTCGACGCATGTATCAATTGTATTCTCATTTAGGAGAGTAAATTTTAATTGCAGAAATGTATTTAAATGAGAGGAAACAATTATAATAAATGTCGCATGTCACGATAATATATGTACGTATATTTATGTTGTTCTGTGATATTTGCGATACATTTTCAATTGACTTTAATTCTTTGTATAAATTTCTCTTAACAAAAATGTAAAAATAAAATCCAGAATTTTTAAATTACTTTAAGCAATTACTTTGAATCAGTCATTATCTTATACAAAGTAAGCTTAAAAAATATTAATAGATAATATAATAAAACCTTATTTTTTAAAATAAATTAATAGAAGGCTCAACAAGTATAAAACAAATTGATTAAAAATAAGAGAAAAGAGCCAATAATTTTTTAAAAAAAGATATATAAATGTAATTAACTCAAAATCGCAATACATTAAACAAACAGAGTAAAATTCGCAAGTAAGAATTCGCACATACGTTTCGACACCGATCGGATCATTTTCAATGTTAAATTTAAAATTAAATGTGTATAATAGAATTAACGAATCAACAATAATAAAATTACATGTGTATAATTATAAAAAATTAACGAGTTACAAATATAAAATTAAATGTGTATAATTGAATAATTAACGAGTCACAAATATAAAATTAAATGTGTATAATTGAATATGGATCTTCCTTTATGATTAGTTTCGCATGAGTTATATAAATCTATTGACAAAAAAGTATATAAATTTAAAAACTTAATTATGAAGAAGTAACAATATATACAATTTACTTCTTCACATAATTAAGTTTTTAAATTTATATACTTTTTTGTCAATAGATTTATATAACTCATGCGAAACTAATCATAAAGGAAGATCCATATTCAATTATACACATTTAATTTTATATTTGTGACTCGTTAATTATTCAATTATATACATTTAATTTTATATTTGTAACTCGTTAATTTTTTATAATTATACACATGTAATTTTATTATTGTTGATTCGTTAATTCTATTATACACACTTAATTTTAAATTTAACATTGAAAATGATCCGATCGGTGTCGAAACGTATGTGCGAATTCTTACTTGCGAATTTTACTCTGTTTGTTTAATGTATTGCGATTTTGAGTTAATTACATTTATATATCTTTTTTAAAAAAATTATTGGCTCTTTTCTCTTATTTTTAATCAACTTATTTTTTAATCTCAAATTTTATTGTATATACGCACACATATATATATACAATGTATATGCATATATAATTAAATATTTATCACTAATTAATTCAAGACTTTACCGTTAAAATAATCAATATTAAAAATTATAAATTAGTGAAGACAGGTAGTTGATTAATTGATAAGAAAAAAATCAGGTTTAAAATTTCTCAAAGAAAATCTGTAGGTAGCATTACATGTATACATATATCACTTACTCTTATCATATATCACTAATTCTCACTATATCACTTATTTTCTTTCTATAATAATAAATCATTTCTCAAAATTAATAGCTACTAAAAAAATGTGAGAGTTAAATTGTACATTATGCTCATGTGATATTTATGAAGCATTTATCTTCTGTTTTCCAGTAGACAATCTTTTGTTAGGAGAGAATATTGCGGACGGTAAATTTTATGCCTCATCTACTGTGTGCACTAAATAGTGATCTAAAACGACCGTCTACTGTCTAGTGTTGACTAGATTGTCGTAAATTGAGAGTTTGTGGCGGTCGCAACGGGCACAATACCTTACGTCGTAGATCGTCCACACAGAGACATAAAAAACTTTTTTGTTAGCTGTTCAGAGAGACCGTATTAGTAGTACGTGAAGAAATAAATCCGCCTTTCCGCACTCAAGTAACACATTGCGTCGTTTTTTCATTTTTTTTGTTTTGCACTAATTAATACGCACAAAGAGGTTAAATTTAAAATAAATGTATATAGTATATTAAAAATAACCTAATTAAAAATTTAGTTGAAAACAAGTTCACACGTACTATTTTTAATACTCGCACTATCCTTTTGATATCATGTTGTATAAAAGATTCTTGTCTAATATTAGTAGGAATATATTATTATTTCCAGCTCTAAATTACGTTGAGAAATTCTAAAAATGCAGGTATAGCTAGTAATAAAAATAAATTTACACCAGTTTATGTAAAAAAAAGTTATGTGAAAAGATATATATACCATATTACATAGATAATTCTAGATGTTTCCATTTTATTTATAAATTTCGGTCATATACTGATATTGTTTATAAAATATTATTATGTTATACGTTCAAGTAGTTTTATTAATTATGCATTTATTTGCTAAATATATTGTCCGTTAAGATAATATATCCATTTATAAGCGAAAAGAATTTAATATTCTTTTCCGCTAAACTTTTTTATGTTGGTATACACGTTAAAATGTTTATCACAATTCTAAATTAAAAGCAAATAATTTATACAATGGATTTGATATTATCACTTTTACACGTCATAGCATTTTGCAGACGATTTAGAGTGGTAATAACGTGAATAAATTAGTTTATCGAATTACGCGATTGTTTACCGATACTCCCTCAAGCAATATGTAAATGGATGATGTTGTGGGTATATTAGCGATGCAAATGCTTTTATGCGAAAACGATGTTTATTTGCGGCTACGTCATTGTTCTCTTGCAGCAAAAAGTACCGGATGCCAGTACCGGATGCCAGATAACAAAAACTTTTCGACGTAAAACGAATTTTAGATGCGAAAACAGGAGTGGCGAGATAATAACGCGGCCGTTCCTGATGGTTATTCCCAACCAACCACGCGGAAATGCGCATGCACACATAAAATCGCGTTCGGATAAGGTGTCGCACGGTTACGAGAGAAATAAAAATAACACTCCGGAGCGTCACACATTACCCATCGTGTTGCACTCCGCGGAAATAGATTATCAATGAACGATATAAAATCCAATTTTTAATATTATAACGCGATATTATAAAATCGTTTGGTTACGGTATCGCATGCCACGCTTTGCCGGATAAGAAATTTATTTCCGCTCATCGTAAAAATTTCATTTAGCCCAGTGCAGTTTTCATGTGTGATTTCAAGAATAGTTGTGCAAATTTTATAGCATTTTTTTATTTTAAAATTAGCAAAGAATTTGCTACACTTGATTTAGATCCAAAAATAATATTTCATACATCTCTTTTACATGTTTGTTTTTTTTGGGGTGCAATTTATAACGTCTAGTTTATTTTGTGCTAAAAAGAGCGAGAGAAGGATTTAACTGGGAATTTAGCGGGTATTTGCTTTTGAATAGAAATAATCGGCTATACACGCACGTCGATCATAGTTTTTACACTAAAAATATCCACCGTTAGTACATGGAATTGGAATGTTCTGGCCAGAATTCAATCTGCAGTTGAGCCTCTTCTGTCCTCTTTATGTTTATTCCAATAGTCGCGCACGACCGGTATTATTTCTATACGAGTGCATTTATGTGCCGTTGCAAGAGTACTTGCGTATTATGCATAGGTATATGCTTGTATTCAGTGAGAGAGTCGAGGAAAAACATATATAGAGAAAAAGAAAGATAGAGAACAATATAGTCACTATTAAAACGGAAAAATTGAAGCAAACTCTGTTACGTTTCAAATTTCCCCTTTTTCGTTTCTATGAACGAAATATAAATTTAGAACTTTCAAATAAATATCATGTCATTATAAACTTGATTTGTACTGTTGCTTATTTTATACAGATGACGAACAGTAATGTATGTACATTAATTTTCCATATATTTTATATAAATATAGTTATTTTATTTTAATATATTGGATACGATTTATGAGATTAATTTGAAAAATACTGAAGAGGTTCGCGCATAAAATATATTGTGTATTCAATAATTTTCTCGTAGCACACTGGTTTGCACGTACTATTCGCTTGGTTAGCGTCACATTTAATTTTGCACGAGCGATTTGGTTTCTATTCAGTATTTCTATTCACACAGCGAATATATCTATTCCGCGTAAGCGCGTGTCCTAGTTTTACTTTTAAACTCGACGGGTGCTCACCTAGGCGATGAACCGGACTGAAACGGACGAGGCTCAATGCGCCATGATCCAAATCACAGTTTCTTCGCCGAGCCCGTTCCCTGGCGAGTTTCGCTCTCCTCCGTAAACAGCAAATTACCATTAACGCTAACAGCGGAAATCCCAGAATGCAGGACACGATAGGTATAATTATATTCTCCGGCGTAACTGAAAGATGCAAATTAGTCGTACGTTAGGATTTATTAGTGAATTAATACAATATTAATTTTGATATATTACTATAATACGTAGGTGTGTAATTCTCGACGACATTATTGTCTGCAACATGAATGTTAAGTATTTATCTTCTTTAGCGACGTAGAAGCTTTTAACAACTAGATTAACTAGAACAATATTTTTCGACGAGTCATTTTGATTATTTAGCAAGATTTAATATACTAGTGGTGCGATATTTGGTCGAATATCCCGTTTTTGTAGAATTATGTTTGATAACATCACAATTGTTCATATACGAATTAAATTTATTGGATTTACCCTATCAAATTATTGATATGTCAATTTTATTAGTTGCTGTCGATAATTGATTTACTAGATACGAATATGATTTTATACAATTATACGAAAAACTATGTAATTTGCCATGAAGTATATATGCCACACTCTCTAGTGATTCATATCATTCCTGTTCACAAAACAGATCTACATTATTATATAGACAAAAAGGGCATGCACTTCTTGAAAGTTTTTGTCAGTTCATGAAAATTTCAAGCGTGTAATAAAAGTGAAGTTGCTTGAATTGAATTAGTCGGTGTTATAAGACGGGGTTTAAGATGGTACTGATTAGACTTTCAGTCCGTATTTAAAAGAACTTAAATCCTAACTGTCTCTACTACAACGGAATTGTTCGATTAAAACTTTTTGCACAACGCATAATATAGTAATGTCGACATTTCTCAATAAAAGTGTCCTACTTCTCTTTTGGATTAAGCGCCATTTTCTCAGTATGTAATACATAAAGTTTGATTTAGCTTTACAGTATGCTATTTTTCCTGCACACGATGCAAAGAAAAGTCTGATTCTTTTGAGAACTTTTAATCAAGATAGCGGGCAACTTCTAGAGAACGAGATACCACACAACTTTTGGCTGGTACAACTTTATCTTCGACTTCATTAAATTATTTTTGCGGTAAATATTTGAAAGATAAAATTTAATTTATTACTGCATGTACATTAATTTACATTAATTATTTAAATTTGATTTATTTAAAATATTGGTGAGGGATATTAACTATTAATACATATAAATTCCTCTAACGATTATAACATGCCATGTTCTAAAAAAATTAGATATTCCATATTTCGCGTATTATGCGTGCTCGTCACGTTTCTTGTATTGTTTATTTATCGTGTTTCGCGTATTACTGTTCGTCGTAGTTCGAAAAATTAAGGACGTATTTTTAGATCGATATATTCGTGTTTTAGTAGTTGTTCCATAGCTATAAATTAGAGCTATTGTGGGGATTTGAATGAAGCACCGATTGCAGATTGTGCGAAGTCCAAAGTTTCTAAAGTTTTATAACGTCAACTAATTAATCCAACAGAAAACTGTGACACAAATAGCTCCGTCACCTTACCTAAGTACTTTACTGTTCGAAAAAGTGCTCTCTAGGTTCATTAAATGTCAATAGTTTATTAATTGTAAATCTCTTAAATTGCATCTGAAAAAGAATTAATTGCAAATTAATTCTGAAAGTACACACATAAAAATACATACTATACAAATAATTACTCAATATATTCTGAAGCCTAGTAAAAATATTTAATTGAAATTCTTAAATTAAAACAAAATTGATTTATTTATTATATGTATAAATATAAAGTCGCTTTTTTATTAATTTTATAAAATAAAAATTTTCTTTAAAAAAAAAAAATAGTTTTTGTTTGAACATATTAATGAGTTTTTCTACAATTTTTAATAGGTATATTTTAAGATTACATCATCAAGAAAATATTTTTTGTTAAAGATAATCATTACTTAAAAATACCCATTTAGAATCAATCAGAACATGGCAAAATCTAGACGATCTTTTTCTCTTAAGATTTTTGAAATTTGACGAGGTTATTACTGTATTTATTTTATTATTGGAGATTAATATAAGTGACTATGTATCTTTCTTTTGTGTTCCTTGGATCCGCTTGATAACATAATTTCGTTACCAACACAAGCATGGAAACTTCTTTGACCGATAATTATTCTTCCTGACGGATACTTGGAGATTCCGTCTTAATGTTTTGCTGAGGATAGCTAAAATGAATAGCCGAAACGTCCAAACATCGATGTAATCACATATCTTATGTTTTATTAAATAATTTTTCGTACTGCGCATTTCTTACCGCGCTGACTTTTTTAGCCAAATCCTTTTAGGCACATCGGTATGTGACAATTTGCATGTATCATGGTGATGGTAATCGAGTAAAGTATGTGTGTCTTTGATCGGCGAATGATGGTCAGTGCTATATTATTGTATTAACACATCGCTAACTTGTTAGTGGATTTGTGTTTTTCGTAATTCGCTGTATAACGAATGGTTAGCACTAATTACATTATCAATCAGATATCTCTCTCTCTCTCTCTCTCTCTTTCTCTCTCTCTCTCTCTCTCTTTCTCTGTCTCTCCTCCGCCTTTCTGTTTAAATCCCCTATGCTTCAACAACTTGTTTGTAATTTAACATCGCCGCGAGCGCGATCTTAATACTTCATACAAGCATCTAATTAAACGTCATCTCTCTCACGCAGTTAATATACCGTGTCTTCAAAATGAAACTAGCGCATCTTAAAATAACCAACATGATATAAGTTGCCGTGTATTTCTTGTAATAAAGTAGAGTTTAGTTTTAGCGTAATAGTGAGAACTATAGTAATGTGTTTGCAACTTACCCGTCGGATATACCAAAATTGTTGGCCTTTTGGGGTGCGGAATCGTTGGCATGGTAGGTCGACCAGCTCTCACTTCGACCGACATTTTCCTTTGTTCTGCAACTGAAATGAAATTCACTTTTGAATGGACTTTAGAGACCTCGATATACATTTTGATTTCTATTCGTAACCTGTTCCCGTCAGATGCACAGTCGTAATTGAGAGAAAAGGACGAAATAGAATAAAACTGAATTTTAATTACAAATTCTAATTATAGAGCATGTTTTTTTTTCTTATACTCGAGTTCTATTGCGCGTAGGTAATAGAGTTATAGCAGAATACAATCAGGAAGGTCCTGTCGCCTAACAATTCATCAATATGTATCGCTGTCATTTCTGATGAGTGCTTCGACTTGTTATATCGGGAAATTGAATGAGGAACGATTTTTATCTATCTCCTATTGGAATGCATGTTGGTTTGCTCATCGTTCAGCGAGCTTGGAATCAATAGCTGGCACCCGTAGCTCCGGTTTCAACGTGCGATTTGCACACGCTGGGAATCAGTTGGTGATGTTCGCGCCTCGTCAGAGACATGAAATTGCTGCCATTGCGCGCAGAACACAGAGAATCTTCACAAGAATCGAATTTCTTTGCGTTCCATTGTTGGATTTACTCAGTTTTACCCCCGAGATTCAAATTATTTCGCAAAGTAATGAACAAACGTCGTGACATGGAATATTTTTACCCGTTATATTCGAAGCAATATACCATATATTTAACGGATATTATTATATTGCTGTTTATGCAGAAAAAGGATATAAAAGAATATATTTTTACTATATAAATTGTTTTTAATAAAATTGTAATTAAATACAGTAATGTATACGTATACATACATTACATTGTATAAAATGAAATAAAAATCCTGTAGTGCGTATTATATTTAATCATACTGACATTTTAGCTTCATTATCACTTTTCTCATTAATATTTAATGTGCCTGCCTCAAGGGATGAAGAAAATATGAGAAGGGTTTTCCCATATATGCAGTGTATAATTCTATAATTTATGATCGCCAGGGAGTTATCTCTGTATCTTTTTCTTAGTAATGCTAAAAACGCCTTATAATATCATGTAAAGTAGCTCAAAGAGCTATTTAAAATGTGAGAGACCTTCCGTTCTCAATTTTCTGTTTTTATCGAATATTGATTTTGACAAATTATATAAATTGCAAATAAATATTTGTAAGTCTTTATCTAATAAATAAAAAGAAATTGAATAGTTATTTTCGATTTTCAAAGTATATTCTTTCCGTAGACAAACTTTTAATTTCTTTAGAATTGTTTACAAACACATTTAGAATTTTTTTAAATTCGACATTTCTTTTATTTTTTAACTTATCTAGAACAATTGCACGAACGCTTATTGTACTGTCTCATGAGAAAATTGACGGTGCGGATATTGTCTGTGGTCGAAATGTACGTGTAATAACAACGGACGGTAGATTATCGAGAATTTGCGATATCGCCGGACGTCAGGGGCAGATAATGCAGGATAATGCGCGCACGTAAAGGCTTGCCCAGCTGGTGTGGTTAGGGCGCAGCACAAATTGCGAAATGCAGTTTATCTCCTGCGGCGGTACAACGATTCCTCAGGAAATCGAATTAATTTTATTCATTGTCGCATTACTGTTAAACTTTATCAATTAGTTTTCGTGATGCATTTGCATCAAATTAACATTAGAATCAACTGCGCATATATATTTTATAGGAAAGAACTAATTGTTTAATCGCCAATTTAGAATCAGCCTGTCATCGAGTACCTATTACTTTTCGCCATTTCCAAGTCGCGATCCATAGTATAGATAAGATTCTCATTAGTCTCCTGATATTTCTTCTACAGGATTCGACGTATCTTTCTCCGATCGATTTCATCCGGTTTTTAGATCATCCTTGTTTTTTCGTGACAGTTTGCCGAATATTACTATTATCATTATATTAAATCATTTGGGGATGTACTTTAATTGCTTAAGCATGAAAAAAACCTCGACCGAATACAATACTCGCGAAGGAAAAGGAAATCGTATCTTGTGAAAAACAGCCCCAAACGTTTTTTGTCATGCTCAAGGGAGTGCCTGATCGTTTACTCAAGCCTACGCGATAAGATGAGATAACCTGAATTAGAGAAGAAAGAAAAAAATTGCTATCCTCGAATAAAAAAGTAAGATTAGTGGACTTCTCGATTATAAGAGACGATAAGGAGTGGCATTATTTATGAAGATAGAATTTATCTAAAGACTTTAGAAGAAAGGTGCAGCTTTTGAATGATGACAGTCGAAAGCGCTGCGTAAATAAATATATTTTCTCAATATTCAAAAAATACTTACTGATAAAACATAGAGCTTTGGATGTTTGGTTACACAAATCCAGGATATAAAGTTCAAACTGTCCTAAAAAAAAGAATAAAGTCGATTTATCAATCTACTGCGTTACGTAAAAATTTCCTGTTTTAATAAAACAGTGAAGTTTGAGATATTGCCGATATTTCAGTCGTTGCTAGCACTTTCGCGCGTTGAGCTAAATTGTCCTATCAAATTTTAGTCTTTTAGTAGAAACACGTCTTCTCCTCTTGCTGCTTGTCCGTGAGAGCCTACGAGAGAGATTTTCTGGTTGCCAGAAAATGATACTTACGACGTGCCTGTTATCTAACTAGGTCGGCTAGTCCGTTGTGAAAAATCTCGTTTCACGGAACATATTCATGTGAAAGAAATAATCAATTCCCTTCGAATCTCTTGGCATTATACGATCGTTCGCATCAAGAAGCAAAAGTGTGAGAGAATCTTATAATTGTTGAACACACACAACGTGCTAGTTCTCCTGCAAAGAATTGTCAATTTAAAGAATAGAATGTGGGAGAATAACGACCCATACACGCGCATATATTGACAAAATTTTCTGATGATCTAAATCCTGTCTTCGTGAGAACGCGAAAAGATCCTTTCGTCTTATCAACAAGTTTTCATCTTCTGCAGTAGAGTCTGTATATCTATATATTATCACGCACGTTTCTCGACTGCCCGCCGCGTAAAAGCAAGTGCAGGTTAACAGCTCTATCTGCATTTCCCACATTTTGGCACGCTATCGGAATACGAGCGGTATGTTGTACGTAACGTATATGGCCGCAGGAAGTTGGTAGTCCATATTACCTCAACATCATGGAATGCCAAGGTATTTACGTCGCTTACGTATACGGGTTCGTCGTATAGTGGTTTCGAGACAGGCGAGATGTTCGGTCCGGGTTTGCATACGACGTTGCAGACCGGCAGACCCTGTATAGGCACATTCGCTTTTATGCACATGCATGTACGAATGTGAACTCAGGCATTTCTAGTTTACGTACGCGAAAGACACATGCCAGCGTATATGGGTGAGATTAGAATCGACATTATAACTGTCTAGCTATCTGTTCATCTGGCCGCGTTTGCGGGGTTTCATCTTGAGAATGGTAGATTTGGATTCCTATTAGAATATCTCGAGAGGCAGGGAATTTCTTTTAAGTCTAATATATAATTTCTTCTTGCTTCTACTCGTTATATCATATCACTCTATAGAATAGATATTGATTACATGACGAGATTACACTTTTTTGATATTTGATTGCGACGTTTAATCTCTGGTATCATTTGCCGAATATAGTATGACACCAGGGTTGGACAGAAGTAAAAAGAAAAACGCAGCTTTGTTTTTGTGGGTGACTAATATAATTCTCATGCCGCCGGTCAGATTTTGTTTAGTCCTAGAGGAGGTCATTTGAATCACGTCATTTATCATGCACTCCGCATTAATTAGGGCAACCTCGATCATATCATAGATAAACTGCACGATTTATCCAGCCTACTCTCTCACCTTCCGCCACTTCCGCTTCACGCTCTTGTTATCTTTCTTTGGGTCACGAAAGCCCATTTTGACCTTTAACTACATCATCATTGAAATTAGAACTTGGAAACCGTTAATTTGCCACTTCTAAGTTTGGAGTTGAGAGGTCGCGGTCAAGGTTTAACTAAACATTTCCTAGGTTGTACACGAGATTTATCTACTAAATGTAGATCAGGAATGCAAAACTGTTCAATTGTTTACTGACTTAAGCAACAGCTTCTTAATTGGTTTGCTTCTCACTGCACGTCATGCAGTGTCATTATGAAACATGGTTTCGTTAGTGAGTTAGATCCTCTACTCTCTCATCGAGGTAGTTATCAATCGTAATTGCTTCTCGTGAGTCTCATTAATTCTCACCAATAGCATCGGTTTATTAATTTTCCGTTTACCATGAAACAGTCGTGACCGATGCAATGTTGCTTGCACGCCATGGTCTTTGAAGGTTCGACTCTTTGGAACATTATGAGTATACAATATTCAAATCTAAAGACCGTCAATGTAAAAATATAATTAATACGAATACGAAGGCCTATAACAGTCTAGCTTGGATCTTAGTTGATTATATATAATTTTGCGTGAATTTATATACTAATACATGTAGTCTTTTCTAAATTGCGCGTCGAACAATTGTCGGTCTTCAAACGCAATTCTAATAAACTACTGTAGTACTATCATGAATTAAATTGATTAACAGTTTAAGAAGGTTCGAGCGTTACTTTGGAGTAAAAAATGCAACTGAAAGAAATTGTCATTATCGCGATTCGGTATCATGCGCAATATTAATGTAATAAATTGTGGATATTATTTATGTGCTGTATTCTTAGTAAATTATTAGTGAATAGAATATTAACAAATGTATAAGATTGTCAACGACTCGAGAAGTCGAGTATACACTTGGCAACGTTGCACTTCGCGACGTGACGGGCAGTGACAGATTATCGCGAATTGTAAGGAAGAAATACAGAATCGCGGACAATAAAGCTTTGAATCCATACGGTCAAATCTGATTGTCTTGTTTTGTACACAATTGTTGATATTTTATCTGTCAAATCCTAGTTTTTCAAAGTCCTAAGTTGGCTGAGTGTGTATAAATCGGTAATTATCTACTTCGGAACGATTGTCTCGGAATAAGACGCTATGTTAAAATTTCAAAGTGACATTACAAAAAAACTAGACGGTCAATATTGTT